CCCGCCCCCGGCCCCCCGCCCCCCCCCCCCCCCAGTCCCGGCCCGCGCCTGCGCACTGCCGCCGCCCCGGCGACGCGCCTGCGCACTGCCGCCCGCGGGTTGCCGTAGCAGCGGGGGCGCGCCTGCGCACTGCCGCGTTCGCGCACCGCCGCCCCTCAGCCGGGCGCAGGGGCGACCGCGGGGAAGAGGCGCCGGCGTCGCGGAGCTCCAATAAATGCCCGAGGGTGGGTGTCTGCGTTTCGTTTTGGTTTTTTAATACGTAAAAATACACAGCTCCTTCACGCTCGCCCCAGCCGGAGCCTGCCCGCGCAGCTGCACCAGCCCCCCGCGGTGTCCCTCCCCGAGGGGAGGCCCACACCCGCCCGCAGAGCCTGGCTGCAGGCTGCGGATGGCCCTTGCAGTCCTCAGAGGGGTGGGGGGGGCCTTCCACTGCCACCCTCTCTCTACATCCTGAGCCTGCAGACGCCCAACGCCCCACAGATTTCCCAAACCCAACTCCAGAGCTCAGCCTGATCCTGCTTGAGCTGCGCCACGTCCATCTTTGCCCGTGCCACCACCACAACCACCTACAGTGGATGGAAATGGCTGTACAGTTACAGGTACTGCAATATTAGGAACCCACAAGCTTGACCTGTCCTTCAGAGCAGTTAACCAGAAGGTTAACCTGGTGACTGCACCATCCGTAACTTATAAAACGCGCTTGCTCCTTTCCAAGCAGATACCCCATGTTGACACTGCCTTAGCCCAGGCAGATAAGCTTCAGGCCAGTAGATGGTGACCAGACTTCAGCGGGAAGTGAATGACTAAGGGTGCTGGAGGGTTCCAGTTGTACAGCAGTTCAGTCAAGCACCTCTGGCCAGAAGTCCTAGGGCTCCAGCCGCCTTCTGATCTCATCAACAAGCTTTTCTCGTGGGATATCAACCTACGAAGCAAACAGAAAGGAGGGAGGTAGCAGCACTGGAACTCCGAGCAGAGCATGGTTCGATCCGGCCCTAAGGACTTGCTGTGGATACCAACCCAGTTTGTGACTGGTTTTCTGGAGCAGTCATTCAACCGATCTGTGCTACAGCTCCCCAAATGAACAACATCACTGAAGGAAAACCCAGAGCCTTTCAGTAACCTCTAGATTTTGGAAGCACTTTTGAAACCTGGTGTAAAAAGGCATTCTCACCTCCTCTCTTATTGCGACATCTCGTAGCTTGACAACTCCATCTGTCAGCTCTTGCTCTCCTATAATGGCAGCAAGGGGGATCCCCGTGTCCTCACAATACTGCAGCTGCTTCAGCAGTTTAGGGTCCTTCTTGTACAGCATCTCTGCCTAGGAGGGAGTGGAAAAGGTGAATCATTAATGCAGAATTTGCTCTGATGGATCTTGGAGCAAAAGAGTCAGCACCAAAACCACACAGAAAACTCTGCCTCATTATTCCTGCAGCGAGCAGTTGCCTTTAGTGCTCTCAGCTGTTCTCCTTCTCTGCCTGCTAGATCTCAGATAGGCCCAGATCTTGAAGAGACACATAACTAATGGAGTTGGTCTTGCTGTGCTACAGCTCCCTGCACTCTCCCTCCCTCACCCATACCAGTGCTAAGCTCAAGTCCTTACTTTACCTTGATCCCTGCATCCCACAGCTCAGAGATGAGTTTCAGTCTCGCAGCAAGTAAGTGTTTCTGAGGTGTAGCCACCAGCACTTGTGTCTCAGTTGTTCGAACCTTCTCCCCAGAAGCCTGCAGGGACAAGGCACTGGTGGGAGTGACTGGCTCTGAGGGAATCCACAGCTCACAACAGAAGCTCATCTCACCTCATCTTCAGACCTTAACTTAGCTCCCCAAAACAAGTACACTTAAAAGCTAACCATCACCATTCAGTGAATGTTACTGAGCAAGGCTAACCTTCCAGAAGCAAAAAGAGTGCACAGATAAGACAACCTGGGCACATTTAATGAGTCCCCCAGAGAATCTGCATTGTGACACACTACTTAATGGTGTGCTGCTGTTCCTGTGGGACCTTGGCCTGCTTTCCTCCCTCCCTCCCGGATGGGACCTGGACAGCTTTCCAATGTCTCCTTTGATTCTTCAGGTACAAACACATTGCCTTAGCCTCACTTGCTATGAATCACAAGCTCAGAACTAAACGCAGAGTGATGAATTTCCTCAAAGGCTTTCTCAGGGTGCTCTTCACAGTGTGAGTGCCACAGCTGTTACCAAACTCATCACTTCACAATCCCCAGGACAGAAAACTTCACAGGCAAGAAACAAGAACAAAGTGACTGGGGCACAAAGTTCAGAGCCAGGACCAGAGCTCAAGGCCTGTCTCCAATGCTTCCTTGGCATCTGCTACAAAATGCTGCTCTCAGCTGCCCACACCTGCATCCTGATGGGCTGCAGAACAGGGCTGTCTTCTGTGCATGGACATTTAGGCATGGGAGGAGCCACCCTCTCCCCCAGATTCTTTCCCCTCGAACACTGTGGAGCTGTAGAGCTCTGTAATAAACCATAGCTGGCTTCCTAGAGCCCTCCCCCCTGCACCACCACCTGCAGTACCTACCTTCACTCTCTGCTCTAGGATGGAGAAGATCCGCTCGATCCCAATGCTGACCCCCACGCAGGGCACCTTCCGTCCCTTGGGATCAAACATCCCCACCAGCCCGTCATAGCGACCGCCTCCAGCCACGCTCCCAACACTGACTGGCTCCTCCACATGGTCATTCTCCGGCTGCAGCAGGACAGCCTCAAAGATCACCCCCGTGTAATAGTCCAGACCCCGTGCCAGGCTCAGGTCGAAAGAGATCTGTAGGACGCAAGGGAAGGCCCGTCACTGGGTGCACTTGGCAGCCCAGGCTGCCCGGGAACGAGGGTAGCACCTGCTCCTGCCTCTGCACCTCCTCACCTTCCCTGTGATGCCAAACAGGGTCAGGTACTCAAACAGCAGCTTCATGTCCCCCAGCCCCTCCTTGGCCAGCTTGTTCTGGGACAGCTTTGGGTCCTGGAGAAGCTGTTCGATCAGGTCCAGGCCACCTGTGGGAACGAGACATTCCTCACGTCTGCCAGCGCAGCAGTACCAGCAACGATGGGCCCAGCCAGCCACGTACATGCCTTGCACCCCTCCATTGCTGGCCCTCCCTGCCTGGCCTGGAAGAACAAGAACAAGGGCTCGACCCCACAGTGCTCACCGTGAAGCTGGACATATTCCCCGATGTGATCCACAGCCTCAGGAGAGAGCCCCTTCTCTCCTACCATCTCACTCCTCACTTCTTCCCATGGCATCTGCAAGGGGAGAGAAGAACATCCGTTGCTGCAGGACGTTCTTATCACCCACTGTCTCCGCCAGCCCATGTATACGCAATGCATGTGGGAAGACAGCAGTTAGCAATGTCACTAATGATCTGCATCTCTCTCACAGGAATTGTTAACAGAAACCACTGGAAATGCCAGGCTTTATTCTTAACCACGCCCAAGAGCTTCCCAAATCCTTTACAAACACCAATGACTTCGCTACCATGAACCTTTTTTGTGATGAGAGCAGCCATGACACTACCCAGCCTGAGATACCCTGAGATGTGAAGCGGTCTCCCCACCAGCACAATGCTTACCTTGTCCAGCTTGTCCACAGTAGAGCACGTAGTTATGAACTTGCTCTCTGGGATGCCGCAGACGGCAAACACGCCATTCAAAATCCGTCTGTCATTGACCTGGGAGTGGGAGAGGCACACTTAGCTCAGGGGAGATCCCCCGCCACCATTTCTTCTTGCCCCAGAGGTGCAGGAAGCTGCAGCTGTTGGCGTTTCCTTGTGCCTTTTCACCAGCGCCTCAATCCCACAGGAAGGGAAGGCACAGAGGTATGAAAACCACACGGCTCTGACCTCACCTTAATGATGAAGTCCCCGAGCTGCAGGTCACTCAGGATCTCATGCACGATCTTCAGGCACTCAGCATCAGGAATCATCGGGTCAAACTGGCCAGCGATGTCAAAATCCTGGGGGCAGAAGAAGCAGCAGATACTCCTGGCACAGCTGAGGTGCTTCGGCTCTGCCAGACACGCCACACGGCCCCGCAGCAGCTGAAGGCAGTTCAGCTGGTAAAACCCACGGTGGCTGCCGCAACACTCACGCACTGGTAGAACTCCCTGTAGCGGCCCCTGGTTGTGGCCGGGTTGTCCCGCCTGTAGACCTTAGCAATGTGGTAGCGCTTCATGTTGGTGATCTTGTTCATCGCCAAATAGCGAGCGAAGGGCACCTGGGGGGCCGAGGAGTTAAGGACAGGAACATGGAGATCCCCTGAGCTGCAGAAAAGTGCCCCGGCCCCCCATTTGCTTTGCTAGCTGCTCCCTGATCTCTAGGGAGATCATCAGCCCAGGCTGACGAGGAGTACGATGAACCATGCTGAGCTCCTTCAACACTGGGACAACTCCATCTCCTTCTTCCGAACCACAGTACGTCAATACCTCACAAACACAGACCTTTACTAGGTCATTTCATCCTCTTATGGTGCAATCAGAGAGAATTCAACATATGGCACAGACATATAGACATTAAAGTGGAGAGGTTTTTGGTGAGACGTCGAGGCCTGGAATGGACGCCTGCTTTGTACCCACAGCAAACACCACTGCTCTTTCAGAACAACTACCGAGGCACTGGAAAGGTGGGATGGGCAGGACAGGAAAGCATGGAGGTGGGGACTGTAACTGGGAGAAGGTGAAACCAGTACAGTGGAGCATTCTGGTGCACGTCTACAGCCCATGGAAAAAAGAGCCACTTTGCTGCGGATCCTGGACTGGCTGTGGGGTGTTTTGAGATGAGGTCATGCCAACAACAGCCAGACCAGCTGGTGCGTCCACTGCTGGGCAGGATGGGGGTTTCCCGTCACCCCGCTGGGACCCACGGGCAGGGCAGGGCAGGGCAAGGGCAACCCGACAAGGCAGGGGTGGCAGCGACCTCGGTGTGCCACCGTCCCCTCCGCGTGTGCTGCAGGGCGGCAGGGGCGAGCGCAGGATACAGTCAGGTCGTAGCGCAGGGCCAGCAGCTCCCCTCCCTGGTCCTGCAGCTCATAGATGAGCTTCGTGTCCTCCCCGTACTTCCCCGTTAGCGTCTCCTGGGGAGAAGCGAGGGGGCTGGTGGGGTGGCTCTGGGGCACAGGGCCCCCCCCGGGACAGGGGACAGAGCAGGAAGCCCAGACCCCCCCTCTGAGCCCCATAAGTCAGGCCGGGGGGGTGGGAGTAGCATGACACACATCTCCCCTCCAGCCCCATCTGACCTGGGGCAGAAAAGGGGGGCCCTGTCGTCCCCCTCCTCAACAGGGACCCAAGAGGGATGGTCACGGCCGCCCCCCGCCCATGCCCCACACGGAGGGGGGGATCCCCTCAGCCCCGGAGAAAGGGGGTGCTCCCCAGTCCCGCAGGAGGAGGGACTCCCGGAGGAGCTGAAGGGGGGCCCCACAGCCCCGGCGGGAGTCACCCCCCCAACAAGGGGACCCCCCGGCGCCGCCTCACCCGCAGCTCCAGCACGGGGGTGTCGATGGCGGCCGCCCCGTGCCTCTTGAAACAGGTCACCACGGCGGCGAGGAGCCGGTCACGGAGGGCTACGTGGGCGGGGGGGTGGTCGCGGGTGCCCTGGCCCGGGACGGAGAACGGCCGTTAGCGACGAGGACCAGGCGAGGCGGGGGAACAACGCCCGGTAACCGCCGGCGCGGCCCCCGCTCCCCCCGTTACCTTGGGCGTCTTCAGAGCCGGGCTCCGCCCGCCCCCGCTCGAGCCCGCCGCCGCCCGC